TGGAGAAGAATAGGAAAAGACTGTTTACCTGGTTCTTGATAGTCGGGAGCTTGATATGGCTCACCGCATCGCGAATCCTCATTGTTCTTTAAGCCAGGGTTGGAGTAGCTAGCGTCCCAGAGTGACCCAGTCCTTTGATACAGTTCAGAAGCGCGGCGCATCTCGCCGGGGCCAGGAAAGTGTAGGGGGAAGTTACGAGAACCCTCTGGTCGCTCACTCCTATCGCCATCCTCGTAGTAGGCCATGGTGGCGGTGTGTGTGTTCTGCGAATTCGGTGTAAGTATAAGCTGGCAAGAACAAAATGGCTCGACAAGAGAGAGGGAGTTAAGGACAACGATGTGAGTTGCCGAGGTTGGTTTGCAGAGACGGGGTCACTTCTGTTAGTTGAGCGTGACAATGAGCTTCGTGAATGGGGATGACGCGGTTGATACAATGATACAAGCAAGATTGCTTACACGAAAATGAGGGAATGGCGAATGGGTGAACAAACGCGGCTAATGAAACGTCGACGATAGTAAGGAAGAAGGCGAGAATGTAAGTCGGCGAGTATTGGCTACCTGGTAATTGAAGAAACAAGTTCTGTGCAGGTGCGTACACCTTCGAAATTTCAGCTCACCAATTTAGTTGTAAGTGGTGGGCGTGAGTGTCAGGACTGCAATGTGGGATGCTGGAGAAGAAGAAAAAGAATAATAAATAATAGGAAACAGCAATGGCGGCGTTGTGTTGCCCCGGTCTGAACCTAAGGGTTGAGCGTGTCGCCTTCCTGAATGGTGTTTGTTCTTCGCTGGGGAAAGAACGTAAGGTTAGACCACCTGTAAACCGTCAACCTCAGGAAGGCGTAGAAAAATGGCCATATTGCCTTGGGTACCTAGCTAGTTCCATAGTGTAATAAATCCATTGTGTACATTTGCCAGATCACCATATTACGCGTTGTCTAGGAGTTAGACGGATCACACCAAGACCTTTCTCACCAGCCAGGAATAATGCTGAGTAGGTAAATTTGCTCCTTTTCTACACTGCACGTCTGCCTATATTTTCAATCACCATTGATGTAGGTATCAATCCATTTTAATTAGATTCCCGAGTAGGAATTGAGTCACTTGAATATCTGCCTTAAGCTTTGCTCTATCGGATTCCAGTATGTTCTACTCAGAAATCAAGGTGCCTGTGTCTCGTATCAGGATATCCAGTATATTAGACGAAGAAAACTTTTCCTACATCGTCGACCTATCCAGAACCGGGAATCATAGAAGAAGGCGCAATTCTTGTGTCAAACACTCGTCGGTCGATCGGCTGGAAATCAAATATCTTGTCAAGCTCTGCTTTGACATTCAAAAGCTCCTCCATTGCCTTCTTGACCTTGTCCGGTTGGCTGTCATCGGGGACATTAAGCTTCACGTTCAACACCCACTTCTGTGCTGGGTCCACCGGTCGAAGATCTTCAAAGGCTGGCAGACTAGCCACCGGTCCTTCTGCTGAGTCTGGTAGGTGGTAGTATCTGCTGAAAATAAACTCGACATTATCCCTGACGAACGAGCGGCTCTCTTGTGCCATCTCGTTCACATAACTAACACAATCCGTTAGTTTCATTTCTGTCGCATTTTACCTGATGTAGGGACCATTCTCACCGGAAGCCATTGTCGGTCATCGCCGTTAGTAGTTGGGGCTGGTCTGGGATTTCTATCTTCTTTCTTGTCGTGACTGGCGTATCACGTTGAGGATCCGGTAAGTCTGTCCACCGTAGGGTACCAGGTAGTGCATTAAACTCCATGGTATTTTCCTTTCGGAAATCCCTATCCGGGACGATCTCGTACGCTACCTGAACGATGTATGATGACCGAGACAACTGGTTGCTGAGTTCTCTCCAGAGCGGTAAGAACCGTGATGTCTGGAACGCGCGCGTATTCTTGAGAGGTCTGGGTTGTGGCTCGCCGTGGAAGAATAGAATGCGGTGAATGGACTGCCGCGCTGTCATCCACGTCAGGCCCTGTAGTATCGCGCATGCCATCTGAAAATCTGCGTCCTTGACGGACGCCGTAAGGAATAGCTCTCGCATTCTGACATAGGTTTGACTATGACTTTTCCCGAAGATGAGGTCGTTGAGATATTGTGCGTTTTAATGAGAAACCAAGGGCGCAGCGCGTGTCTTTTTGGAAAGTTGAAACATGTCGGTATTTCGAAGCCCCACCAGTGTTAATAAGGGTGATATATAACAGGAGGGAGGTATGCTATGAAATGGAAGGGAGTGAGAGATTTGATCGTTGTTGCTTGGTGTTGAGTTGACGTCGGCTCCGCGCACATCTGTAGACGGGAACGGTAGGGCTGAGAAATTACCCCACCATGAGTCGCACCCTGACTTGTGTCGTACAAGGTACCCACAGCACTGTGTACCCCTAAAACATTTCCTACTAGCGCATGATTAGTGGAGGGTACCAATATTCTTCATTCTTCATTCTTTATTCCTCATTCAGACGTACATTTACGGGTGAATCTTTCATTTCTAGAACAATGTAAATTTATCTCATGGCATAAGTTAGACTAAATTGTCATTCTTATTCTGATGGATCACACCTCGGTGCTCGAAACGGGCAAAACGCCATTTAGGCCGACCTAATTGGTAGTTCATAGGTAGTAGTCGCTGCTTTGGATCTCTCGAGGTGCTCAATATACTCTCTCACCATATCCACCACCGCACACTCAAAGCTCTTCAATTTCCTCCCCAACAATTTCTCTGTTTCGCTCGAGTCATAATCAATAGGAAATATGTCAAACTTTCTCTCTTTAAACAGCCCATCAGCAACTTCCTTCGGGAACTCCCTCTTAATAATATCAAATATCCCACTGTAGTCCACCTTCGTCGCGACTCCGAAATCCTTAGGTCCACCCGCCTTTGGGTCAAGGAACGCCACACGCAGATGGACCTCTGCCACGTCGTCGATGTGCGCATAGGCCCCGGGGATTGGGCTTGGCACCTCCATGTCTAGGATCACCATCATCAGGAAATTGCGGCTGCCTTGCTTCGTGACCATCTCTGCATCGAGTATAAGCTCGTTATGGCCAACCACGTGCCCGACCACCACGCGGGAAATGGTGAAATGAGGCTTGTGCGTCGCAACGAATTCTTCCGCTCGTTCTAAGGCGACCACTTTGGCCGTTGTGAATGCCTTCCTGACGTCGTTGAAGGAGCTGAGTATGGAGCTAGATGGTGGTAACTGCGTGGAGGCGCGTGACACCGATACTAGGTCGGCGTTTTCGATGATTGACGAGGTGAGAACGATGCGCTGTATGCTGGGCATCTTGAGCGCGGATGATAATATCTCTTCATATGCCTTCACTACGGTCTGGAAGACCTTGTTGGGGTCGTGGGTTGACAAGAACGGGCCGATGTGTATGATATGCGTGACGCCTTGCAAGGCAATGTCGAAGGCACCCTTGACGGTAAAATCAGGGATGATGAACGGGAGAAGGCGGTCTCCAAGGTTGCGTGCCTGGATCTTAGGGTTTCCGGAGATGCTCTGGGCGTTCTCCTTTGATCGTACAGCGTAGCGCACATTGTGGCCTGCGGCGAGAGCTTCGAGGAGAATGCGGAAGCCTATCGGGCTGGTATCTCCTGTGATGAAAATTGTTGCAGTCATTGTGTTCTATCTTCGTCAAACACTGCGGAACGCTAGACTCTCAGGCAAAGGCCAAAAATCTTGGGTGATCTCCCATATGTATATATATTTGGGGCACTTCGATTGTAAGCTACCGACAACGCGAAGTATTGTTTCCTCAGAGATGCGAATTTGGACGAAAGTAAAGCTATAGGCGTATATTGGAGCGCAACACAACCATCCCGACAGTTTGCAAATCATCGGGACGACAGAACCGTTTGCCACAAACCGGAAGTCTAAGATGGCTTCACTCAAACAACAGTCCTCACTTTTTCCTCGACATTATAATAGCCATTGACTTATACGTAGCTGTTGGATTCAACAGAGAGGGTATGATCAACGGAGCTCTCAGGGAATAATCATGGAGACGATCTAGACTTTGCGGTAAGCCTCAACGAAAAAAAAGGCTCTATTCGCTGTTTCTCCCCTGCGCGCGACTTATTAAGCCCTACCCCTACCGCTAACACGAAGGTTAGAGCCAAAGGAGCTGCTGCACTAATAGATGATTGAAATCGGCTTGACGTTGACAAATCCCATCATGAATTCCTATGATGCCTAGCCCTGACGGTGTTTTATCGGGGGTTGGAAAAAACTGATGGCAATCGGAGATCCAGATGTTATTCAGGGAAGTCATACTTGGTGTTTACCTGGTACAAGGCATATGGAAATCTGAATGCTACCTCTTCATACAGATATCCCTAGACAATCGATTATCTTAACTGCACAGAAATAGCAAACTCTTTTGTAATATGTGAACTTAGTAAATAGTTACTATCCATGACTCCATATTACTAACATGATTATAATCGTGCCACAAACAATCTGAATGCCCTTCCACATCGCGTGTTGGTTCGCGGTTGACAGGGCCATGTGATGTTGCCGTCGCCTAGCTTTAGGCAGGTAGCCGAGATCCGCCTTGAGTAGACGTCACGGTCCTCAATAAGGAGTGTATGTGGCGGACAAAGCACATTGAATCTTCTCAAGGAAGAGCCCTAGCTTCGTAGCGAAGAAGCTTCAGAACTACCTCATTCCAAATACGGCATGCAGTCATTATAATAGAAGGGTTCTGACACGAGACGAATCTCCAAGACATGTAGGAGTATGAACGGATAGGTCATGGAAATTACCAGAAAATCTCTCAGATATCCTACAAACGGGAAGCAATTCTACATTATGAATGTAATGGCGTTAAGGTCGCCAACCTGGAGTAGAATCTGAAATAATAAATACCAAAAACAGGAACTCGAGAAGTGCAACTAGTAAGCGCCCTCGTCGGTAACAAAACTTAACCCCTACCAATAAACAGAACCATGCTCAATACACATAAAAAGAACACACCATGTAGTACTCTCGATCGGGGAATCGAACCCCGGCCACCTGCGAATTTTGACCTCCGATGAAATGAATCATCGAGATGGATGACAAGCAGGTATCCTGACCACTAGACCAATCGAGATTTTTAACATCGTTGAGCGATGTGATTGTCGTGCGGTGGAGCCGTGATGAAAATTTACGCGAGCTAAAGTCACATATAGACGCTTGCGCTCGACCCCATTCGGATACCGGCGCTGTGGGTTACATAGTGGTTAGCTGGACGCGGAGTGGGACGGACGTCAAGGAAGTGGATTCTGATACATGACAATGACAATGCATGTCATGGTACCTAGTGTGGCTAAGATAATCCCTCAGAGGGACAAGAGTATTAATTTTAATTCGAACCCACCCGTCTTATAGGCAAGGCATTTCTCTTTGGGATCGTATTAGTCAACGGCTGAACAGGACGAATTCTACTTAGCGAAGAAATGGCGCGGACCAAAAGGATCAAGAAACATAGGTGAAAGATTAGGTAGTTTCGTAAGAATCCAAGATCTGATTGCTAATATCCAACAAATGGCTCAGCTACGGAAAGGTTACAACTAAACCCCTGATGGTTTCGGTCAGGCGCAGTAGGACCACGATAGAGATCGGGAACCATGGTAGCCCACGGACGGTCATAAAAACCTCGGTTATAAGGAATTGCATTTTAGTGCAATGACAGGTCTCTCAAATCTGGATAAAATGTTGTACTCTCTATACTCTCTATACTCTGGCCGGTTTAACGGAGTCCGATTAAGAGATCATGTTTTGAACATTATTAGATAGATTCTAATGAGCGTGATTCAGAGAACCAGCAGGTATCATAAGTCTATTATCTCATCCATCTTACGTCTTAGACTCGTCTGCCCATTTCCAATACACCGGTTGATGCATCCCCAAACCCCAATTATTACTCTTATCCAAAATCCGCTTTTCTCTGTTTCCACCGAAGTAGATGCTTCGAATCCCATAATAAGCCAGATTAGAATACATTACCCTTTACCTGCTTCAAGTTCTTGACCTTGATATCCCTCCAAAAAGCGACGCTAACGAGACCTAGTCCAGTAATTGCAGTAGCAGCAACGAACATCCATCTCAGACCATCGCCGTAGGCTGCTATGATAGCGTCTCTGGTCGGTGAGCCAACGGGGTACGAGAGTTGAACGGGGAGCTGGCCGTAGATTTCGGTGAGATTGGCTTGGGATTCTGGGGGAAGATACTTGGCTAGGGCCTTGGGGAAGGTGCCTGTCCAGATGGCGGCAGAGATGGTTCCTCCGATGGCACCGCCTACACTGCTGAACATACCCTCCATAGCGAGGACAACGGCAACGTGCTGGTGAGCTGCTGCGGCCATGACAGCGATCTGCTCAGCAATAACACAGGCGCCACCGGCGAAGGCGTAGAAGATCTCACACATGATAATCCAACCAATGTGGGTACCGGGCTGTCGGAAGTGGATAAGCAGGCCAATGCTTAGGATAGTGAGCGGCACACCGAAGTACAAAGCAACCCACTTGAAGCGACCGGTGTAGCGGATCGCAAAACCCACGATGAAGGAGAAAAAGCACGATCCAAGACTGTAGATGTTGTTAATGTAACCAGTCTGGGTTACGTTAAGGTTGAGGACAACCTGGAGGAATGACGAGAAGTAGGCTGTCCAGATATAGTATTCGACGAAGAGAACAGCGGCGAGAATGCAGGCTCCGAGGACAGTTCGGTCCTTTAGAAGCTCCCAAGGCATGAACTTGACGGGTGCAAAGAATCTCTCCCAGACAACCGCTCCAATTAGGAGTAGGCCACCAAAAATGATCAAGCAGATGGTCAAGGGATCTCTCCAGCCGTAGTACTGATAGGAGTAGATGTTGAAAGGGAGCAGGAAGAGCGCAAAGCCACCAGAGACCAGAATAAGGCAGATGACGTCGAACTGCCAGAAGTAGTATTTGACATTTTGCCAGAAAGTTCGGCCGCTGGGGGTGTAGACGATCAATCCAGCTTTCTTTGCCTTGTGATAATTCCAGGTGAACAGAAAGAATAGAGGTAGGCACATGATCGGAGTGATGATGGAGAAGATACCGAAACCCCATCGCCAGCCGATACCTTCGAGCACACTCTGGGCCATAGGGCTAGTGATCCAGACAGTAATAATGTAGGGCGAAGAGATGAAGGCCAGCATGAGACCTCGATTCTTTAAGTGCGAGGTATCGGCAATGAAAACGGATAAGGAGTAGCTGATTCCGTTGTATCTGCAACAAGTCAGTACGCGGCTTAATTAAACGGCCAGGAAAACCAGTGCTTACCCGACCCAGTAGAAGACTTGTGCAGCCGCATAAGTCTCGACATTATTGCATGCCGCCATCATGACAAGACCAAGAGTCATCAGGAGAACGACTACCATGAAACCCTGGGGACGACCCCAAATGTCGAGAACTTTGGCAAGAGTAAGCTTCGAGACACCACCAATGATACCGGACATGACGCCAGTGGTAGCAGTTAGCGAGTGAAGGGCAAAGGCGCTAGTGACGTATGGGGTCAAAAGAGTGCCCATTCCCTGTTGCATAGAGTCGACGAAGTAGATGATCCAGATGCTATAACTATTAGTCTATGGATGCAAAGGAATACGGCAATTTCGGATTAATGACAACTTACAAGATATACGCCATTATAAGATTGGACTTCGACCAGACTTTGGTTGTGGCCTCAATCTTCTGGACACCGGCTTGAGCATCGTGGTCGATAGATTCGGGATCTGTGTCGTTTTCGCTGTTGCGAGTCTGATTATCGACGACCCCAGTTTCCTTGTCGGTTTCGGCGCGTGTTTTTTCTTCCACCGGCACCTCGGTAGGGTGGGTGAATCTAGCAAGCGGTCCCCTCATTTTGACTTCTAACTTGAGTGCCCGATATTCTACGGATCAAGTTGGAAATGATGTGGATGCAGCGCGGTTTGTGTCAACCGACTGAACACAAGAAGGAATCAGTCCTGGGGTAGGGCGGGGGGATGGCCAGCTATTTGAGCAATTGTAGGACGCGGCTGAGATATTATTGTATACTTGTACGCATACAATGATATCCTCGGCCGAGAACTGTTAAGAATGGTGGCTGGATGAGGAAGTGGGAGATAATCTCAGGTGGTCATGTCTGCCCTTTTATTCGGGGCGTACCTGGGCAAGGACTGGAAGTACCCGTACTATAACAGAGAAAGATAGGCGGGAAAGCCATAACCTAACCTTGATCTTGGGTCTGGCCATGAATGTAGCTAAAAAGAGTGGGGTTGCATCGCGACCAGAATGGAGGTAGCTCCTGTGGCTACAGGAAAGCTAGTCCAAAAGCCAAAGAGATCGAAAAAAATTCAGCATTGATCAAGCAATAACCATACCATACCATACCAAGAAAGGGAATACTGGTCCTAGATTGCTGCTTCGAAGCTAATAGAAATCATGCTCGAAATTTCACGATCCACCGTCTCTTCCTTCATATTGAAACACTATGTGGAATTTCTAATTACGTAAAACCAATCGACGAGAGATCATATGCCTGTACATGAGCTGAGAAAGTGAATCCTGAAGAAGGTGTGGTTGCGTGAGTGGTGAAAATTCAGCTCCAAACGGGGAAGGTTCTTCGGGCATTCCAGGTACGCTAACGACCCACATCCAAGGGACTTTGCCAAAGCTAGACTTGATTAGGTTCACTAGCCGATCAGATATGCAAAAAAATATGGGCGCCACGAAAATTATCTTATCAATCAGTATCCATCAGCCGAGGATCGAAGCGTGACCAAAACCAACTAATAAAAGGACTAACAAGGGGCATCGTACTCTTCGTCGTGTTGGCGAGTTCCAATAGTCTGGACGACGATTACGTCGAGACCGCGGCGGGTGGAGACTTGAGAGAGGTTTTTGACGTTTAAAATATCTTAGTCCTGCGCGACTTTTCGTACGACCCGAAGAGAAACAAGTAGTTGTGCTGGATCTTGCAGTGAGAGGCGGGAAATGCCACTGGCCAGACCGAGGGTGTTAAACGTGAGCTGAACATACTCATGACATCAAGAGGCCTCAAGTAGCAGCTACACCAAGATCTATTTGACGATCGCTGGTCACTATAGGTATAGACAGTCTGGTATCAACAACGACTATGGTTCAAGTTCGTAGTAGACGGTCTATACTAGAAAATTTTACAGACGACAAGCTGCCCAAGCTGGACTTGGCATCTAGACCAATCTGTGAAGCTATAGAAGTTGGCAACGAATCGTTCGATTCGAGATCCCCAAGAGACTTGAATGATGTGTAGTGTAGGGCCCTAAGGCGTCTAGTTTGACAGTTCGTTACTATTTCTGAGCAGCCAACGGCGGCCGACTCCCACAAAGGGAGACGCCGATGTCGCGGCCAGAATTTCGGTGCAATCGATTTCGTGTAAGCAAGCCTGGACAAGGTCACTTCCCTGTCTGTGATTCGTGCGATCGGAAATGCAACACACGGGGATTACGTGTACGACGTCGTATGCCAATCAGAACATGCGATTAACAGGCCTAAGGGACGGGTATGCCATGTCATGCACATGCAAGCTTTCACATCACCCCTTCTCATCTCTAGTGATCTCTAGTGGTGGGACGGGTGACAGAAATTATCAGATGCTATGCAGATTGCTGGTTGGGCGCTTGGAACATCTAGCGGAAGTAAAAAATAAGCCTTAGAGACAAGCGTCTTGAATGGAATGCAAACTCGGCAGGGAACAGTTCTACATTAGGTTAGACCGGTGGACTCCACACGGACGCGTTCCGCCGCATTGATCCCATCCGATCCCACCTAACACGTGATCATCCATTTTCCGTTAGATCCAACTTTTCTTTTTGTCCCGTACGAAAAGATTCAACTTCGGCCCACGCGAAGATATCGATTGACGACATTAATCTACGATCGGGTACCGCATCCGGTCTTTCAAGATGTCGGCATCACAAAAGCCAATTCGCCTTCCTCCGTTGAAGGTCCTCCGAGTTCGCAACCCGAACGGACAGCGGGAGCGCCCTTGCATGGGTATCATGTCCTCCGTCCTTGGTATGCGCAGATCACTCTCTACTTTCCTACATCTACTTCCTATACCATCTAA